CCAGGCACAGGGAGAGGTGGCGGCGGAAGTGGTATCGGCGCGCCGAATTGAGATAGCGGCAAGCCACTGCATCTGGCAAGGGGTACGGTGTTACCCCAAGCGCTGCTTTTTGAAAAAGTCCACGAAGCTGCTCACTGAACGCTCTCTTGTCGACCCGCTGGGCGCTGAAGTACATTGCCCCGAGGTCTGCGCCATCCCATTCAGGTGGTGGTTGCTGTTCAGCTTGCCCGCCAAGGTCATAGGGAGGGGCAGCAGGGGCCTCGCGGAAAAGGAGACGCGGCTGGTGCGCCTTCCATGCGTGCATCCCCTGCGGCGCCCACGAATGGAGACGGCGCTGGAGGTTTTGGCGGCGGCTTCTGCTTGCCCAAGATATGTTTGAGCTTGATGAAGGCTGCTGACGCCATTTTTTACATCTCTTGTTTATCGTCACCCTCTAATTCTTCCAGGTTGATGTGCAAAGATGCTGAAGTTGGCGCCGAAACTGGCATGGCCTCCACATGCTTCTGCCTGAGCAGCACCAGCTCCGTTTCCACTGCTTTCTCTTGTGCGAGCAGGCAGTCCAACTTTTCTTGGGCTTGCTCGGTGAATAGACGTTGCTGCTAAACTTCTGCCGCCAGACGCTGCTGAGTTGCCTGGGCCCTCGAAAACCCATGTCCAATCGCCGTATGCTGAGAAAGAACTGGTTTGCACTCAGACAAGGCTTCCCGCGTGTCTCGTAGCTGCTGTTCCAGTTCGCCTTTTGTCTGAGCCCCGTTGCTACAGCGCTCAACCCTTCTGATAGTAGTCTCAAGGTCCTTGATCTGATCACGAAGTTGTTGCTCTCTGCTTGCCTCTTGCCCAGTGGGAGGTTGACCGCTGCCTCCGCGTGCGGCTTGAGGTTGTTGAGCGCCGCGACCGAGATGGCCGCCGCCAGCGCCGCTGTTGCCGCCGGCGAGCTTCCCCGCGGTCTTGGCCAGAGCAGCGAGTTTGTCATGGGGGGGCCTCGTCTTCCAGGTGCACCGGGGGCGCGCCGAGGAAGGGGGCCGTTCGCATTGCCATTCTGATTGGTACCATTGCCTTGTCCTTGGGCTTGCCTTGCGCAGCGCTGCGGCGAGCGGCAGCCGCGACCTTGGCGGGGGCTGCTGCGCCGCAGCGGCAGGTGACCCCCGAAGCCCAATCAGCATCGAGGCCGCAGCCTCCGCGCGCCCAGCGCGGAGACCGAGGTCCTGGTAGGATCGGCCCAGCGTTGTCGGACATCACCCGAGCGAAACAACGTGGGGGAGTGCTCCGCCAGGAGCTCACTGTAAACTTAGCGAGGGTCGGGGCCAGAAGGAGGGGCTGCCCTCCACCTCGCCTCGAGCCTCTCGAGTCGCGGCCAACGGTGAGGGCCGTGAGACTTGAGCCAAAATATATACGGGATTTTTGTGCATTTGCTGGTTGCTTCGATTTGTTTGGTTACTGCATGGCGCCGAATGTCTTCCCCTCGGACGTCCTCGTCTGCGTCGTCGGCGTAGTGGCAGTGGGCGGTCCAGCCGCTGTGTAGGTGAAAGCCGTGGCATCTGTTTGGTTTGAGCTGTGATAGGCAAACCTCGTCGCAGTCAGATGCTCGGACCATATTGGCCCATGGGTCGTCTCTGTCGCTGCGGTTGTCCTCTGATGCTGAAATGCCGTGACCTTCGAATCGGTGGTCTTGCCATTAGGCTGTCGGTGCGTCGTCGTTGTTCTGCGCCGGTGGCATCGGCATCCGCGGTGGCTCGGGCGGGGCGCATTCACGGCAGCCTTCGCATATTTTCTTGAAGGTGAGGTCGGGTATAAAGTGCTCTGGCCGTTTGCGTTTTCCTCTGGCCGTTGCACGTGACTCGCAATTCTTCCAAGTTGTCGTAGACAGCCTTGTCGTCGTCGCGGCGTTCTGCAAGATGTTGTTGTGCGCGAGCGTAGCGCCCATCGTCCGGCGGTAGGTCTGCGCGGCGACGGAAACCGCCCTGAGTCTGCGTGAACATCGGCGGGTTGCATGTGAAGTGTGGTCCATGAGGGGGCGGTGGGACGTCGGATGGCTGGGCCTGAATGTAATTCGGGTTACAATCGTCGTAGATGGCGCATCTGCGCGGGTGGGGCCCTGCGACGGGCGTAGGTCCGAGGCATCCAATCATTATGGCCACTAGAGATTGCGTCTGGCTGGTGATCTGAGCTCGTAGCGCGTTGGCGGCGTAGGGCCTGGAAGCGCGCAGCGCCCTCCCATTGGTTGAGTAGCTCGTCTTCGGGGTTGGTGGCGCCCCCTAATTCAACGCGCCCGGTTTGCTCGCGCGCGACTGGCGGAGCGACGTGGCGCGCAGGTTGCCCGCGGTGGATGGGGGGTCGAGGCGCCGGATGCGCGCGGGTGCGTCAGCTATGTAGTTGGTGAGTGCGAGTAGCTCAGGCCCAGTGGCGACGTCTTGGCATGAATCTGTCATTCAGCATGCGAAGGTACGTGCCCCGTAGTTCCTTGCGTCGCACTTGAACTTCAAATTGATGGCGTAGTCCTCGCCCATCTGGAATCACACCTCCCGGGTCTCTGCGTGCAGTATATTTTGCATGGCGTCACTTTGGGGCTCTTTTCGGTGCCGCCCCCATTGAAGTAGAAGTATGTATATCGTGCCTTGTTTTCGTTGGTGTCGTTGCTGAGCTGACCATGTGCGGCGTATGGGTGTTGCTCTGCGTAGATATATTGGCGGCTCCTCGTCGTCGATGAGTGTCTGGTGGTCGGGTCTGCAGTCGGCTCTCCTGAGGTATGGAGTTTCCTTCGGCCGCTGTGACCAACGTAGCCCATCTTGATGGTTTGAGCATCAATACTTCCAGCCAGTGAATGCTAATGTGAGTCGCTCGTGTAGTGAGTTCAAGATATTCTTATTGGTGTCGGTAGGTGTGCAATCGTCGTATGCGTCTCTCGCTTGGCATTGGCCCAGCCTTCGCTGGTTGGTACAGGCAGGTACTCGCGCCCTAGTCGCAGTGAGACGTAGACGAAGTGCGTCTCGGTGTCGGCCTCGGTGATCATGTCCTCCTTGTCTGGCCCAGCATGTGCGCGTAGTTGTCGAACGCAGTCTGGATCGCATGTGCACGGTGTAGCTGTGCGTAATAGGTCGGGTCTGCTGTTCCTGCCGTAGGTGCGTAACCGTGGAGGTGTAGTCTCGCTTCCTGCATCAATGTACTACTCCGTAGGGTGTCGGTGCAGCGATTTGATCAGGTACTTGCGCTATTCGGTGATGTCGTCGCCCTTCTTGAGCGACCTGTCGTGTGGATCGACAGTGAGGGTAGGTAGGCGAAGCATGGCGCATTGGCCCATCTACTCTCCAAAACAGCGTATGTCTTGCTGTTGGTAAGATTGTAGGGGGGCGGCGTCGGGAACATTATGCTGGATATGCATGTGGGGGGAAACCTGCCAACAATAGTTTTGAGCCTGACAATGACGGAGACTGCGCGTGAGGAGCTGTGCTGGTAATCTCGCTCATGGGAAGAAGCTTCACAAGTGTCCTCGGGTCCATGCATGCGCCTTCCCTCGACGCTCTCCCCCAGGTATGGCTCACAGGTTTCCGTGCAGGATAAGAGTCTGTGTGTAACTATATGTGACGTATGTGCGGTGTGACGATGAGCAGTGTCAGCTTCGGCCATGTATGTATGCAGAGTCCCTCATTCAGGCTTGTGCACAGATTTGTGGCGTTTGGGTCCACTTGGAAGTCCAATACTTGTCGTGGGTGGAATTGTGAATGTGGTGTCGGCGCCTAAATGTGTCTGAGCGCTGCACGTGCATGCCAGTCGCTGGGGGACCTGTCTCACGAAGAAAGGTCGCATCACGTATGTGCCTCCGTGATCATTCGTAGGTAGGGCCTTGTCGTACCACGCCCCTCCCCCAGGTGTACCCAGTGGGGCCCCCATGCAGGGTATGAGGCAGTCGTTGTCCGCTGTTCGCCTGTATGTGCTGGGTGTTGTTGTATTGTGGCTGCGTGGTGTTGCATGATGCCAGCGGCAGATGCCTCACACCCAGGAATTTCCTGTAGGGCTCCCATTCAAGGTATGAGGCTGTCTGCAGAGCTGTGCTCAAGTTATGGTTGTGCTGTTGGTCCGTTGTTGCTGGGCTGTGCTGAATCGTGTGCCGCGTATGTGTTTAGACAGGTGCTGCGTCGGTTTGTGGAGCATTGGAACCAATAGTGGTACGGAAGAGATGGACACAAATGGCTGTGGGCGGGCATGGCACTAGCATTGGCTGGTGTTTGTCATGGCTTAAGCATGGCAACTCATCTATTGAGTGTCGTTGATTCCCGCATAACTGAAAAGGGGTGATCATGAACGAGAGGGCTTAGGTAGGGGTATAAGGTCTTGTAGTTCGCGATGCGTGATATTGGTTCATGATGAGTACGTCTGTAATGTAGCATCACGTACAGCTTGCAATATACGTGTGAGCAACGGACCCTGTTTGCCCCTTATGTCAGACTTATGTGTGTATACGCTTATGTGGCCTCTCGATGTATACGGGTAAGCTGTCTGGTGTAATAGGACAGTGGGCGATATATCAGAATCGTGCAAGTATTTGCTCTCTTCACTCAAGGAAATATACATCAAATGAGGAAGTCGTGGTGGAAGAACGGATGTATTTGCCGTATGATTCACAGAAGTGTCTTTGTGTACTGTTCGTGTATCTCCCCCTGGTATACCCCGTTGGGCTCCCGTGCGTGGGTATGAAGCAATGCCCACTGTAGCTGGATGTCGCTGTCCTGTTGCTGTGGTTGGGTCCATGTAATTAAGTGGTGTTTGTGTGTTGCTGTCGCTGTGTGGTGTATCGTGTGCCTTTCCCCCAGGTGTGTCCCTCTGGGCTCCCATACAGGGTATGAAGCGACTGGTGTGCCGTCTTCTTGTCGTGGTTGTCGCAACCTCCTTGTCCTCCTCCTCCTCCTCCTCCTCCTCCTCTCCTCTTCCTCCCTCCTACCGCCTCGTCGTCGTCGTTCTTGCATCCGCCGCCACTGTCGCTGCCGCCGCCGCTGGTCGGCCGCCTCGCACCGCCGCAGCGCGAAACCACTGCGAATGTCGTCGCGCCGCAGGAAGGGCGCGGTCCAGCCCGGCTTCGGCCGCACCTGCTCCAGCAGGCCCGTCAGCACCGCCCCTCCCTCCTGAAGAGGGACCCAGACCCCCTCGGGTCGTGAAAAAAAACACGGCAGGAGGATTTTTTCAGTTTTCGACATCTGGGGGCCATTACGGGGCCTCGGGACCACCAAAAACGATTCAGGATGAAACGCAGGTCCTGGGGAATGGGTCGAGACCTCTGGAGGTCGACATTTTGAGAAAAGCATGACGTTGGGTGTCTGGAGGGGGAGGGGATTTTTTGCGCTCCTCCGAGGAAGTGCTGGACGCGCCAGCTGCAGACGTGGCCTACGCCCACGCACGCTCACTCGACTGGAGTGAGGAAGCCCACGCCCCTGAGAGCCTGACTCTAAGGGACGACCTCCTTCCACCCCGTGCGCGGATGCAAGCCACGCTCGAAGCTGCTCCTCCGCTCTTTGCCAGTTCTGTCCAGCGTGAAGCCAAGACGTTGGTCGGGGCACTGCTGAATCAGCGCCAACCCAATGAATCAACACGGGCCGCCGAAAAGCCATGCTTCTGCAAATTTGTATTTTTCGATTCAAGCACTGCTCGAGAATGCTCGGCCGGCTCGGCGGAAGGGCCGGTGGAAGGTTAGGGACAGTCGACCGGCGACCATCCGTGCACGTGCGCGCGCCGTCCTGGACCGCGACCACCGCGCAGGGTTCCGCCGGCACCTCGCTAGGCAAGCTGTTGACCGACTCGCCGACGTCAGCGAAGAGCTCCTGGCCCGCGACCCCCCGCGGCGATGGCGGACGTGCTCCCCGACGGCGCCGAGGGCCCAGCAGGGGCACTCTGAGAGATCCTGGCAAGCCAGGTGGCCGAAGCGCCGATAAGTAATTAGACGTGGCTGCCTCCGAACCCTCTGCGTATGCTCGTGTTGAGACCCTTGTCGGCGTCTCCGAAGGGTGGTGATTGCAACAAGTGCGGTTTGAAACCCGCGCCCTGGGGGGCGGGCAAGGACCCCGACAGATTGCTCTGCCGCGCGCGCACAAGTATCTTTCAAGCCGTGGGCGCAACGTGATCCCCCCGTGCCCCAACAGCGCAGATCGCAATCCACACCCGGGCACAATCACACCCTGTGTGATCGTCGACTTTGGTTTGAGGGTCCGCCTGTACTTCCGCCGGGCTTTCGCGAACTTCCGCCAGCAAGACCGCCCTCGATTAACTTCCGTTGGCCTTCCGCCGAACGCTGGAGGTCGGCTTATCGACTCCTCGACCATGCGCCCCATTCGACTGCACGCAAGAAGGACCAGGGGCACAAGCGACCGTTGGTGTGTAGCTTTCGGGGGCCGCGAGGGGGCTAAATCCAAACGCGCAAGCCAGTACTTTGGGGACCCCTGTGGGACATCCTGTGGGCACCCCTGAATGAGCGAAAGGTCACCCTTAAGCGTAGCTGAGCCATGAGATGTCCCCGTATTTTCTGGAGGCGTTTTTTTGTTGCCTGCTCTAAATCAGCTTGACACTTTCCTGGCCCAGCCCCTGGTTGTTGTCGAAAGAGCGGGGCCACCATCGATCGCCCCACAGGCATGCGCGGGAAGTCCAGAGGGCCTCGGCCAAATTCAATCGGATCTGCATTCGCCCTTGCGACGTCCGTAGAAAAGCGGGCACCTGGCAGTTCTATGCAGACAGAACGGAGAATCGGGAGTAGAACTTGAGGAGGACGAAGAGGATAAGGATGATGACGCGGGCGAGATGAGCGTGGTGTGTGGGTGCGTACGAGGAGGGGCACAGCTGGAAGGGCCAAATCGGTAGCCCAGAGCGCTTCGGTGTGGGCTCTGAACTCTGGCCTTGCAGCCTACTTCTTCCTTGAATTTAACGGTGCGAAATATCCAAGGGCACTCGTGCAACCAACACATACCCGGTGTGGGCTGGCTACCTTGATCATGCTAGATATGTGACATTCAACGACTGTCGGGCTTTCGAACAAAAAGAATGGCAGATCAAATGGCCAATGGTTCGGTATCCCGAAACAGGGCCTACGACACGTTCGGCCTCGGGGAGTGGAGGGAAGAGGAAGAGGACTCACAAAGACCGACATGATCATACATAGTAGTCCGCAAACAAACTGTTAAGATCTTCGCGGCCTGATTTGCCCAGCGATCTAAACATTTGTGCACCCAGTGGTTTTCTTCAACATCGTCATATTGAACGCCTCTGGCTTCTGGCGGCCACAGCCAGGGAAGCCTGTGGGACGAGCGAGATGAAGCATCCCCCCACCTTCTGGCGCACAACTCTGAAAGCGCCGCCGACACACGCACAAACACATATGCAAACACACATGCAAACACTCATTCTTTGGCGAGCGCTCCCTCGGCGACGAGATAGTCACAATGGTGGGGTCGATCGAAGGGCGAAAGTCGGTGCAGTCGAGACGCACAAATACACAAGCGCATATACAAACGACCACACGCCCACGCACCCCACATGACCACACGCCCATAAGCGCACACGTACACACACACGCAGAGGCGCGTGCACACATATGCACGCACACGTACACGCGTACGCGCACACGGGCACGCACACGCACACGCGCATGCACGCGAAAACGCACGCAAACACGCGCACCCACAGGCACACACACACACACGCACGCACGCACACACACGTACACACACACGTACACACACACACACACACACGCACGCACGCACACACGCACGCACGCACGCACGCACGCACGCACGCACGCACGCACGCACGCACGCACGCACGCACGCACGCACGCACCCGCGCACGCACGCACGCGCACGCACACGCACACGCGCTCGCGCACGCGCACGCGCACGCGCACGCGCACGCGCACGCGCACGCGCACGCGCACACGCACACGCACGCGCACACGCACACGCAACCGCACACGCACACGCACACGCACACGCACACGCACACGCACACGCACACGCACATGCACGGGCACACGCACGCACGGCACACGCACGCAGGCACGCAGGCAAACACACACGCACACGCGCACACGCGCACGCACACGCAAGCGCACACGCACACGCACACGCACACGCGCACGCACACGCACACGCACACGCACACGCGCACGCGCAAGCGCACGCGCACGCGCACGCGCACGCGAACGCGCACGCGCACGCGCGCACACGCGCACACGCACACACGCACGCACGCACGCACGCACACACACACACACACATTCACACACAAACACACACACACACAAACGCACACGCACACGCACACGCACACGCACACGCACACGCACACGCACACGCACACACACACGCACACACACGCACACACGCACGCACGCCCGCCCGCACGCACGCACGCACGCACGCACACACGCAACTGCACACACACATGCACACAAATGCCAAACACGAACTATTGCCCTTGAGAGCCTTTTCCGCCTACCCCATTTCTCAACACAAGGCTGCAGACCTGAAGGCAGGAACCCCCCTACGGAACATGTGCTCTTTCAATCGGCAGCTCAGCCTAGCGGGGTGGCCAACATACTTTGTGGTTTTACGTGCACGTCGCTGACATGCTGCAGGATGGGTTTCCCAGACTCGGGCAGTGCAAGCATGCCTGAGCTGAAACACGGCGTGAGCTTTCCTGAACATATGGTGTGGCAATGTTGTTACATACCTTGGCTCAAACATGGCGCCGCCCGTGAATCATGTCGTGGATCCTTTTCACATCACCGATAGGGGTGCTCGCAATACTGACGGGTGCGCATTGAACTACATGGTGATGCAACGAAACGTGAGAGCATCTTGGGGCACAACCGCGCGAGAGTGGGTCATCGCTTTAGCGGGCGGTTGCCCCAACATGTTGTACCTATACGGCCACCCTTCGGGTGATGAGGAGGTTCGGGGGGGGAGGAACCAACGCCTCACTCGATCGGTCTCACTATCGATCTCACTATCGATCTCACGATCGGCCTCGCTCGATGGATCTCACTCGGTCGATCCCACAATCAATCTGACTTGATCAATCTCATTCGATCGGTATCACAATCGAAATGACTATCGATCTCACAATCGATCACACTATCGATCTCACTATCGATCTCACAATCAATCTCACATTCGGTCTCACGGCCGATCTCACTGTCGATATCACAATCAATCTCACAATCAACGTCATCATCAACAGCATCATCATCAACGTCATCAACATCATCATCATCATCATCATCATCTTCATCATCGGGACACCATCATCATTATCATCACCTGATCACCATCATCATCAGCATCATCATCGTCATCACCATCATCATCGGGACACCACCATCATCACCATCATCACCATCAACAACATCATCATCATCGGGACACCATCAGCATCATCAGCATCGGAACACCATCATCAACATCATCCGCATCATCTCATCACCACCAGCATGAACAGCATCATCAACATCATCATCATCATCAGCATCATCGGGGCACCATCATCATCATCAGCAACATCATCACCAGCAACAGTATGTTCATCATCGGGACACCATCATTATCGTCACAATCATCATCATCATCACCATCATCATCATCATCGGGGCACCATCATCATCTCTAACATCAACATCATCATCATCATCGGGCCATCATCATCAAACTCATCATCAAACTCATCATCATCACATCATCATCATCCTCATCATCAACATCATCATCATGGGGACACCATCATCGTCATCATCATCAACATCATAATCATCATCGGGACACCATCATGATCAACAACAACATCATCCTCATCATCACCATCATCATCGGGACACCATCATCATCACGTTCATCATCATCCGCATCACCATCATCTTTTCATCATATCATCATCATCATCAGCATCATCACGATCACCAACGTCATCAGCATCATCGGGACACCATCATCGTCATCATCAGCACCATCAACATCATCAACATCATCATCATCATCATCGGGACACCATCACCATCACCACCATGGCCGTCATCATCCCCATCATCATCATCAACATCACCAACATCATCATCATCATCCTCGGGCCGGGACACCATTATCATTTCCACCATCATCATCATCATCAACATGATCGGGACACCGACGGGACACCATCATCAAAATCATCATCATCAACATCGTCAACATCATCATCATCATCATCATCATCATCATCATCATCATCATCATCATCATCACCATCGGGACACCATCATCATCACCATCACCATCATCATCAACATCGTCAACATCGTCATCATCATCATCATCATCATCATCATCATCATCATCATCATCATCGGGACACCAACGGGACACCGGCGGGACACCAGCAAGACACCTCGCGCCACCGGACGCCGGAAAAGAAACATTTGGTCCGGCCGCGCCTCAGCCGGAGGCAGGACAGCGGCGGGACACCGCGCGCCACCGGTTGCCGGAAGGGAGTCATTTGGTCTGGCCGCGCCTCAGCCACAGGAGACTTTTCTCTCGCCCGCCCACGCAGCTTCGCCTCGCCCGCACGCACGGCACGCACGAACACGAAACCGAAATCGATTTCCCGGTAGGGGGGCTCTCCGTTCCTCTTCGATCTCACCCCCTCACCTCCGATCCTTGCGCGCAAATGGTTAAACCAATTTGTCAACATTCGACTTGGGCGACGAATGGTGTTGGCAATGGAAGTTGCTAAGGGTACGACGAAGAATGTGCAACCACCACTGTGGAGAAATAGAGATACCGACAAGAATTATTGAACGGGG